ATAAAATGTTGCTTTTTTAATTAACAAATTGCATAATCGTGACATAATTATAAGGACCTGTTTAATGTCAAAGTTCAACTGGTTACTCACTTCATCTTAATAATAATTTGGCAGTTAATAATTTGTTTGGTTGATTAATATCAAAAGCAGGAGGTGTTTATGATATGAGCGAGCCGTCTAATCAAATGTTATACTGCAAAAAATATATTGTCACTATATGATGTGTGTGTGTGTTTGATGTATGTAGAGTTTAAATGTGCGTGTGTTGGTGGGGATATATGTGTGGATGTGTTTGATATATATAAATGTATCTGTGAGTGTAAAAGATGTGTGTTGCGGTGTGTTTGTGTGTGTGAAAGATGTGTTTGTGTGTGCACAAGTAATGAGTTTGCATCTGCGTTTTAGGGGATGTTGTATCCAAGCTGTTATGACGTCCTCCGAATTTGGTCACTGCCAGAGGAGAAGAGCAGGATGGGAGCCACGGTCCTCACAGGTTGGTCGTTGGTTTCTGTTTGGTTGTGCAATCTCATATGCTCTCTGATTGGTTTGTTCAATTCAATTCAATTTATTCGGCAAAAAGAATAGTTTATAGTTTACTTTGTTTCCTTTATTTTCAATAACACTTAGACATTTTGCATTCATGGATTTACTCAATAAGATGTTAACAAATTTTCATCAATTTTGTCCCTATGCATTAAAATTTTATTTTTTAAATTTTTTAGATTTTTAAATTGTCTTCCATTGGCATAAACTTGTCTGACTAAACACCCCCACAAGTTTTCAATTGGATTGAGATCAGGTGATAATGCTGGCCATGGTAAAACATCAATTTTATGCGTCTCTAGGAATTCTTTAGTGGCTTTGGATTGTATGAATTGGAGCATTATCATGTTGATATATAAATTTTTCTCTATGCCTGAGAATGTTGGTGTCCTTGAAGAATTGACAGTTGGCTTTTTTCTTTGAAAGAAAAGGCACCATAAACCATGACTGATTGTTTTTTTTAATAAATCTTTATTCTCTTTTCTCTCATCGTGCCAATAAAATTTGTTGCCATCTGGACCATCAAGATTGAATTTTTTTTTTATGAAAAATTTCCATTTTCCATCCCAGGTAACATGATCTTTTGCCCACTGCAATCGTTGCTCTTTATGAAATTTTGTCAGTGGCAATGATTTGATTTTTTTCTCAAATTTTAAATAATTGCATTTCTTTAGACATTTTTTTACAGCACTGATACTACAGTTTAACTGTAAGCCATTTATCAACTCAACGGAACTGCTTGTACCCTCACAGGCTTTTCTTATTAGAAATGCCTTTGTTCTTCTTGACGAAGGTAATGTTCGCGACGGTTCGAACTCAGCGACGGTGAAGCATATTTAAAAGGCATTTTATGAAAAAACCGATTAAATAAAAAATATTTAAAGGTTTCATGAAATTAAAAAATATTTATTATCGTTCCTTATTTGTTATTTATAACATTTTAACTGTATTCAAATTAAAAATTGTATAAAACAATAAAAAAAACTCCATCATCAAATCGCTATATATATATTAATATATCAACGGTTACGAGAAAGTTAAAAAATCGCCAAAAATCCATTTATGTGTGCATCTCAAAAATACTTGTATATTCTAATAGATAATTTCATCCTCTAAAATATCATATATAACAAAACTTTCAAATCAGTCTAAAACGCGCTTAATGTGAACAAAACAACGTTTGGTGAGATCTAATGTGCATACTATTTTTAAAACTGCTGCTTTAAACATAAAAATAAAATTGTTCCTATCATTTTATTTTTGTTTTTGTTTCCGGTACGATGTCGCGAGCGGTTTGCATTAACGAGTTATTGTGTTATTTATTTAATAATTTTAATAATTCTGACAAAATTGACGATGCGGAATTCATTTACGAAATAATGGATTTCTACAATTGTGAAGATATTAGAATAGCAAAAAAAATACTTACCAGCGATCTAGATGCATTAAATCTAGAAAAAGATGATAAAATAAAGCCAAACAGTTCTGGAAACTCTAAAAAGGACAAGGTTAGTGATTTAATACTAACAATAAAAACCATTCTGAGCAACAAAATTGAAAGCAAATTGCCTCAGTATGCTGCTCTCAACCTTTTTAAAATTCCAAGCTCAAAAAAAGCTAAATTTGAGTCAATTCTTGACGAAAAGTTAAAAAAATTAGAAGAACTATTTATTGAAGAAAGAAACATCTTCCGAGAAATAGTAAATGATGCGGCTATTAACAATAGCCCAAAAGTAGAAAGAAAGCAGCAATCCGATTGCAAGACCGAATCGAGCAAGCAATCTGACTGGTCAGAGATTGTAAAACGTAAAATTAAAAAGAGCTCAAATGTTCAACACGTGGCGAATGTTCAACACGTGGCGAATGTTCAACACGTGGCGAACATCAACATGTTGAAAACAAAGAAAAAAACACACAACACTAACATAGCAAATATGAAAACAGTTATAGGCACCCA